GGTGGGGAGGCTGGCTGGGCGCCCCCTCCTTCCCGCACCGCAGGCGCCGGCACCTCGCCGTCCTCCGCCTCCTCCCCCCCCCTCCTCCTCCTCCTCGCCCTTGGTCTCGCCCTCCCCGACCGCCTGGCCGTCGTTCTCCTTCCCCTCCTCCGTCTAGTCCGCCTCGTCCTCCTCGTCGACGTGGCTCTCCGGCGCGGCTGCTGTGGCGACGGTGGTGTCGTCTGGCGGCGGGCCTGGCTGAGTGGCAACTTCTGCTGGCGCTCCTGTTGTCGCGAGCTGTGCTGCCGCCTCCTCGTCCTCGCCCTCGGTGTCCGCGCCCGCCGTCCCTTCCTCTGCGTCCTCACTTTTTTCGGGGGCCGCCGTGTCCGCGCGGTCTGCCGCCACCTGGCCCCCTCCCTCGCGGGCGTCGTCGGCGCCCCCCGGCAGTTGGTCGCCGTCGCCTTCGCTCGCGGGCGAGGGCGGGCGGATCGGGGCGAACGGGCTCCGCTCGACTCGTAGACGATTGGCCGCTTTGTCCGCCGCCCTGTCCGCCTCGTCCGGGTCGCCCACGTCGTCGTCCCGGGGTTGCAGTGCCGCCGCGGCCTGGCGGCCCGGCTCGCCTACTACCGGGCGCAACGGCAACCCGAGGCTCGCAAGGTAGCGGCGGCCGTGCGAGCCGTCGGCGTTCGTGGCGGGCGCGAGTTCAGGGTCGGCGGCCGCGGCCAGGCGGCGCGCGTAGAAGGCGCCGTCCGTGACCCTCACCAGTCCCCAGGGGCCAGGATACGCGCCCGAGGCGGCGCTTGCTGTCTGGACGTGCGTATCGTGGGTCGCCTCGTCGTCGCGGAGCGCGTCTCCTGGTGCAGGAGGAGCGTCGTTGTGCCCCGCGGAAGGGCGCTCATCCAGGACAGCCTCTTGTCCCGGACTGGGCTCGGGCGGGTGCCGACGCGGGCGGGCCTCCGGTGCGTCGTCGACGTCGCCGGGCGCGCAAGTGTCTGCGAATGCGAAGCTCCGCTGAGTCCCAAAGGAGGCGGGATCAGCGGGGCCGCGGGCGCTCGGGCCAGGGGTGTCGGGGGCGCTAGCGCCTGCGCCCCCCGTAGGCCGGCGCGCTTCGTAGAACAGGCGCCTGAACGCAACCAGGCCCTGCCGATCTGCATGGGGGAATGGGGCCAGGGTGAACAGGCTCGCGGCGGGGATCAGGACCTTCGACCCCGCTGGATGCAGGAAGCTGCCGCGGTTGATGTCGGCGCTGTCGTTCCTCCCGCCCCTTCGCCGCCAGGGCCTGCACCAAGGTCCAGGGCTGCGTCGCGCTGCTCCCCGCTCGCCGGCCCCGAGAACTCAGGAGATCCAGGTGTCGTTGTAGGCGGCGCGCCCGCATCTACGTCGCCAGGACCGCCAGCAAACACAGGGCAGCAAGGTGTCGTGGTCGTCGCCCTGGCGGTCGCCCTGCTGTCGTCGTCCGTCAGGCCTCCCGCGGGCTCAGGGTTGCCAGGTGTAGCTGCGTGACCAGGAACAAGCACGGGATCAGGGCGACTAGCCGTCGCAATGGCCGTGTGCATTGGAGGATGAGAGGTTGGAGAGGAAATTGGAGGGATCAGGGCGCCACCTCGCTGACGATCTGCGTGGCCAGGACCAGGCGCGGGATCAGGGCGACTAACCGTCGCAATGGTCAGGGGCATTGGAGGATGGGAGGTTGGGGAAGAGATAGGAGGGATCAGGGCGCCATCTCGCTGACGATCTGCGCGACCAGGACCAGGCACGGGATCAGGCGTCTGTGAGCAGGAAGAGGAGTGATCGTTTTCATCGTCGTCGGCGTCCATGGCGAAGACCTCGACTGTGCCTTGTCCTCCTCCTCCTCCTCCTCCTCCTCCTTCTCCTCCTCCTCCTCCTCCTCCTCCTCCAACTCCTCCTCGGACCTGGCCCCACGCGCCCAGGACAGGCCAAGCGTCTCCATCTCGTTGGTAGTCGCCTCCACCACGATAGTGGTCCTCTCCCGAACAGCTGGCTCCTTCAGGGCGGGGGGCGAACCCCGCAGCGGTGCAGGGGGGCGCTCGCGTCGTAGACCTCCTCCACCTCCACCTCCACCTCCGCATCCTCCTTCACCTCCTGGAAGTCCAGCTTGCTCTCGAAAGCGCGCGGCAGGGATCCCGCGTGGAGCACCCAATCGCCCCAGGCGGAGCCGGTCAGACCGCAGCCAAGCCGCCCTGGACGAACGTGCCAATGAGAGCCGTCGCGGCCAGGCGAGCATGCGCGAGCTCCGCCGCCACGTCGGGCTGCTTCTCCACGGTGTCACTGGACCTCAGCGCCTTCCGGCCGACGGCGCCTGCAGCGGCGGCGGTGCCAGCGAACTGAACCCGTGGCAAATTGCAGAACGCGTCATGCGCCACGACATGCGCCCGGCCCGCCGCGGGAGCCTTCGTTCCAGGGCCGCGCAGGATGTCGCCGAGGTTCAGGCCGGCCGTCAACGACAGGTATCCAGGCAGCTTGCGGGTGATGCCGGGAGTGATGTAGTCCAGGGTCGCCAACATGCTCACACGGCCGTGCCTCAGTTCGTCCTCGTCCTCCGCCTCATTCTCCACCTCGTCCTCCACCTCGTCCTCCAAGTCTTCGTCGTCCATGGCGTCGTCGTCGTTCTCCCTTCGGATTCGTCGCGTCTTCGCCGCCCTCGCGGTCGCCGTCATCCGCGCCAGCAGCCAACGCGGCACGCGCCTCCTGCAGCGCGGCGCGCGCAGCCTGCAGCTCGCGCCGCAGCGCCGCCGCCGCGGCGGACGTCTCCCGGAGCTGCGCCAGGGCAGCGTCCAGCCGCGCCTGCAGGGCGCCGGCACCAGCCTCGGCGCCCGCCGCGGCCGTCGCAACTCCCGCGCCCCCCGACGGCGGAACGCCCACCAGGCCGCGCGGGGCCGCTCGGAGCAGTGGGCCGCCGCGGCCAGCAAAGGGGGCGTCGCGGCCGCCCAGGCCGCCGCGGCCACGGAGGCGGCGGCGGCGGCGGCGGCGGCGGCCGCGGACGCGGCAGGGCCGGCGGCGGCATCGGTAGCCGCCGCAGCGGCCGCTCGGGCCGCGGCGCGCACGCCGGCGGCGCGGGGCGCCGCGGCGGAGGGGGCGCGGCGCGGCCGGCGCCGGCAGCGGCGTGCCGAGGGACGCGCCGCGGCGCAGGGGCGGGGGCCGCCGCGGCGCCCGAGATGCCGGCAGCAGCCGCCTCCACGGCGCGGGCGGCAGCGTTGCGGCGCTGTCGCCACCGCCGCGCCGCGGGAGCCTCCATCGCCGCGGCGAGAGAAGCCGGGAGGGGGAGTAAGGGGGAGGCCCCGCCCGGCTCCACTCCGCCCGACCGGAGGGCAGGCCGATCCCAGGCGGCGGCGCAGCCAGCTCGGCTCGCTTGAGCCAGAGCTGCCTTCAGCCAAGGGCTACGGTCTGCTGCCCCACACAAGCGCTTTGGCCACCATCCCAACCTTGGATCTTCTCGTCTCCTTCCCCGTCCTTGTCCTCTCTCCCCCCCACTTCCTCTCTTCAGCCTTTCGTCTCGCAGCATACGCTGTGTCCCCTTCATGCGTCATTGTATTTGGTTGTTTGGGAGGTGCACGGCTTCGCCTGGCTCGCCTGACAACGCCATATCCCACATCCATGTCGCCTCCCCCGACGTCCCCGTTTACCACCCTGCCCCCTCCCTCTCCCCACATTTCCCTTCCTCCCCCGACCCCTGCCTCTTGCCTTTCCCCGACCCCCATCGACGTGTCGTCCCCCATGTCGTCCAAAATTTTAAAATCGTCCTTTGCAGATCGATACAAGCGTTTGAACCAGGGTACGGCCACGAGGTATGCGGAATGCACATCGAATCCGCTGGGACTTCGACACCTCGTCTGTTTCCTTCTCACGCTGGGGCTGCCCCCTCGTGCATTGAACCCCGACGCCGTGGATTGGACATCTCACGCGTTGACCCCTATTCTGGGTCTATGACCCGCCACGCGCTGACCCCATCGCTAAAGCCTTGGTCCCTAATGCGTTGACCCCTCCTGCCGTGGCACGGGCCCCTCATGCGGTGATCCCTGAAGCGGTGACTACGACCCTTCATACATTGACCCCTTCATGGTTGGGCTTGGGCCCAGCATACGTTGACCCCTTCATGCTGGGGCTGTGCCCTCACCTTCGAAGACCCTCATTCGAGAGGCTCGACTCCTCATCCGTTAGCCCCTCATGCTGGGGCATGACCATCATACGGGCTGATCCTCCTCCTCCTCCTCCTCCTCCTCCTCCTCCTCCTCCTCCGCCTGATCCTCCTTTTCCTCACCCTCCCCCCCCTTTCATCCCGGCCACTCCACACGCCTTGTACAATTACTCAATATGAGTACTACTCTCCCTCTTCCCCCGATGGCGGCCTGAAAGTAGCCGACCCCCCCCCCGCGTCCTGCTTTTTTACACACAGGATTTCCGGGAGTTGGGTTTTCGCCTGCATTTTTTTCAAAATGCTGCTCTCGCCGAGGCGCCGGCCTCATTTTCGGGCCCCGCTCGTTCCGAATCGTGCTCCCGCTGCAGCGCTGGCCTCATTTCCGTGCTTCCGCTCGTTCCGAATCGTGCTCCCGCTGCAGCGCTGGCCTCATTTCCGCGCTTCCGCCGTTTCGACTCGTGCTCCCGCTGCAGCGCTGGCGTCATTTTCCGTGCCATGCCACGCACACGCGCACACACGCACACACACACACACACCACCACCACCACACCACCACCACCACCAGACACCACCACCAACACCACACCACCCACCACCACCACCACCACCACCACCACCACCACCACCACCACCACCACCACCACCACCACCACCACCACCACCACCACCACCACCACAACCACGCACACACGCACGCACGCACGCACGCGCACCACCACCCACTAGTCCGCGGATAGAGAAAATCAGCGCCATGGTAAGGGATGGGAGGGAGGGGTAGGACGTCAGATATGACGCGCGCGCACCTAGCTTGCCCCCCCCCCCCCTCCCTCGCACACCTCTGCTCGGTCCACGCCCCGCTCCCCGCCTGCCCCAGCGGGGGTTGGGCGCCCACACGTAGCCCGAGATGGACGCGTCGTCCCAGAGGTCTGCGGCGAGGAGGAGGAGGAAGAGGAGGAGGAGGAGGAGGAGAGGAGGAGGAGGAGGAGGAGGAGGAGGAGGAGGAGGATAACGAGAAGGAGGAGGAGGAGGAGGAGGAGGAGGAGGAGGAGGGGAAGAGGGAGGCGGGGTGGCGGGGACGGAAGGAGGCATAACTGTGACCGCAAAGCATGCAAGTAGTGATTGCCACTTGGTGCTGATTTGTCCGAAAAAGATCGATGGAATCCGACGCGGGCCCAACTCGAAGCACGAAACCAAATCAGCGGCCTGGCTGGATTTCTGGGAGGCTTATAACAACCATCCAAGGGAATGCCATTTTAGAATCTCTAAGACATGAGTTTGGGGTCCACATTACCCGTGAGGACTTTACCGCTTAATCAGGCGGCAGATGAGTGCGCAGGGGATGGAGTCCGTCGTGCCAGGCTCGCCCAGCCTGTCATCTGGCAAGTGTGTGATGTTGAGATGATGACGCAATTCGTGTGCAGAAGCGCCTCATAGAGGTAGCCTGGCAAGTGGCAACTCAGACTCCATCCCTTTACTCGGCCTCCTCCCATGCTGATCGCGTAGCCCGCAGTCGTGATTCCCACGCAGCGCGGTCGAGAAAAGTGGGTACAAGTTTTGCACCGTCCGTCGAGGGCGCCCAATCGAAGAGTTGGGAACGCTGGATTGGCTTGTCTCGCAGTGCCCGGGCAAACACCACCAAATCCACCGCAGTCATGAGATGTCTTGTACTCGCGAACTCTGGTGGTACACCCCTGCTTGTCAGAGTTCGGCCAATTCCACGCTAAGAACATGGGCTTCGCTCAAAGCGGTGTCGTACACAGTGGTCAACCAGACTCCTGATTACCTTCAGAAAATCTGGAGCCCTATGAACGTTGCTGTTTCTTCTGAAGATCTTGGGTGGGTGTATCGAAAGTATGGGGCTCACGGCAGTGCGACGATAAGCAAAGGTCTGCGCAAAGCCTCTGTCTCCCCCCCCGCTGACTGAGGTAAGAGGAGAAGGAGGAAGAGGAGGAGCAAGATGAGGAGGAGGAGGAGGAGGACGACGAGGAGTAGGAGTAGGAGTAGGAGTCAAGCTAGCCAGCTCGAGCGAGTCAAGCATGGCATGCCCAGTCCCACCCGCCCTCCCACAACATAAGAAGCAAAGCTGGCACAACTGGGGGCCGAAGTCACACCGGCCAGCCGTTTGGTACAGCTGATGCGGCCGCGATGGCGGTTGCCGACGGGAACTGGCGAGCGCGTGTTGAATGCCGCGCACGCATTGCCAGACGAGTCGAGAATGGCCCGGTACACCGCAGGAAGCCAGAGGTGGCCGGAGGAAGCCCGACGTTCTGACAGGACACCCCAAAGCATTTTTGTGAAAAAGCATTGGGTTTTTGATGTTTTTATGTTGAAATGCTTGCAAACACACGGTGTTCGGTAGGATTCTGACATGAACGCGCGAGTGTGCTCTTTGTGGTATTTTTTGCACAGGATTCGCGGCCTGGGTGCATGACAGAGCATCGCGAGTGCACCGCGCGATGACGTGAAATCGCTGGATTTGACCGAATTCTTAAGATTCCTATGGTTTTCCTATGATTTCAGCAAGAGAGCCCGGGCGGGAAATTTGTACAATTGTTGTGAAAATGCATTGGGTTTTTGATGTTTTTATGTTGAAATGCTTGCAAACACACGGTGTTCGGTAGGATTCTGACATGAAAGCGCGCGTGTGCTCTTTGTGGTGTTTTTTGCAATGGATTATCGCCGTGGACGACAGGACGTCCATGTCGAGAGGAAAAAATAAGAAAAATGTTGATTTTGTATTGTTTTTTACAGGTTAGGATGGGACCCCCCGGATGCGGCCACTAATGGCCGGCCTGAGGGGGGAGTAGGAGTATATTCTAATAAGGAATAAGGATAGGAGTAGGAGTAGGAGTAGGAGTAGGAGTAGGAGTAGGAGTCAAGCTAGCCAGCTCGAGCGAGTCAAGCATGGCATGCCCAGTCCCACCCGCCCTCCCACAACATAACAAGCAAAGCTGGCACAACTGGGGGCCGAAGTCACACCGGCCAGCCGGTTTGGTACAGCTGATGCGGCCGCGATGGCGGTTGCCGACGGGAACTGGCGAGCGCGTGTTGAGTGCCGCGCACGCATTGCCAGACGAGTCGAGAATGGCCCGGTACACCGCAGGAAGCCAGAGGTGGCCGGAGGAAGCCCGACGGTCTGACAGGACACCCCATAGCATTTTTGAGAAAAAACATTGGGTTTTTGATGTTTTTATGTTGAAATGCTTGCAAACACACGGCGTTCGGTAGGATTCTGACATGAACGCGCGAGTGTGCTCTTTGTGGTATTTTTTGCACAGGATTCGCGGCCTGGGTGCATGACAGAGCATCGCGAGTGCACCGCGCGATGACGTGAAATCGCTGGATTTGACAGACTTCTTAAGATTCCTATGGTTTTCCTATGATTTCAGCAAGAGAGCCCGGGCGGGAAATTTGTACAAATTTTGTGAAAAAGCATTGGGTTTTTGATGTTTTTATGTTGAAATGCTTGCAAACACACGGTGTTCGGTAGGATTCTGACATGAACGCGCGCGTGTGCTCTTTGTTGTATTTTTTGCAATGGATTATCGCCGTGACGACAGGACGTCCATGTCGAGAGGAAAAAATAAGAAAAATATTGATTTTATATTGTTTTTTACAGGTTAGGATGGGACCCCCCGGATGCGGCATCGAATGGCCGGCCTGAGGGGGGAGTAGGAGTATATTCTAATAAGGAATAAGGATAGGAGTAGGAGTAGGAGTAGGTGGTAGGTCTGTAGGTCGGTGAGGTCGTTTGGGTCGGTAGGTCGGTAGGTCGGTCGGTCGTGGTCGGTATGTAGGTAGTTAGGTAGGTAGTAGGGGTTATTATCGTAGTAGTATAATTAGTGTAGTAGTAGTAGTAGTAGTAGTAGTAGTAGTAGTAGTAGTAGTAGTAGTAGTAGTAGTAAGTAGTCGTAGTAGTAGTAGTAGTAGTAGTAGTAGTAGTAGTAGTAGTTGCTAGTAGTAGTAGTAGTAGTAGTAGTAGTAGTAGTAGTAGTAGTAGTAGTAGTAGTAGTAGTAGTAGTCCCTCCGATGCACGTGCGGATCTTGGGACCCCGAGTGTGCGCCAGGGGAAGGCGGGAGGAGTAGGACGAGGAGGAGACAGAAGAGGAGGAGGATGAGGATGAGGAAGGGATGAGTAAGTTCGAGCACCAGCGGGCGCTCTAGAGAAGAAGAGCAACAATCATAATGATAATCAAGATGTAGAACAAATGGGATAAAGGATGAAGGTGTGAGATGCATTTGCGCAAAGGGCTTTGCAGTTTGCTTTGCAGTCGCTTTGACCCGCGGGCTTGAGCCCAGAGGCGACGGAACGCACAGCAGAAGAGATGGGGGCTTATGCAAATATCCCCTTCGACTCTCCTCCCGTGCCGTCGCTCTGACTCGGTGCCCGCCGTCTCATAGAATTACTCCGACGGTAGGACCCCACGTGAAAACCTGTTTAGCTTACCCTTTGCCCTTTCCTCCTCCCCCTGGCGGACATCCTCTCCTCTCGCCCTCTGCACTGCCCTCTCTTCCTCCTTCTATTTCTCTTCCTCCTTCTCCTCCTCCTCCTCCTCCTCCTCCTCCTCCTCCTCCTCCTCCTCCTCCTCCTCTCGCGCCACCTCCTCCTCGTCGTCGCCCTCCCCCATGCCCCTTCCCTCCTCATCCTCCTGCCTCTTCTCCATGTGCACCTCCCGTTCCCCCTGGTCGTGGCAAGCAACTCGATTTTCCTCGGCGCCGTCGCCGCGTCGGCTAGCACGCGCGCGTTTGCGCCTGGCCCGGACGGAAGGGTTTCCCCCTGCGCCCGGCCGCCGCTTCGGCCGAGGATGGGTTACGACCCCCGGCCCGGACGCAAGGGTTTCCCCCTGCGCCCGGCCGCCGTCGTCCTCCTCAATTCCCGTTCCTCGTCCTCTTCCTCTCCTCCTCCTCCTCCTCCTCCTGCGCCTTAGCTCCAGCTCGCATGCTTCGAGCTGGCTCAGCGCGGGGACAAACCGGCGGGCTCCCGCCTGTGACTTCCTCGCGGGTCACTCACAGACGAGGCTCCCGCCTGATACATCCTCCTTATTCAAGCCCTCCGGAAGCCAAAAGTGCCGACAGTTACACGTTTCGGATGACCCGCCTCGGATTAAAAACATGGGGTGCGGGCCCCACAGGGGGAGGCTTCCCGCCTGAGACTTCGTCGCAATTCACTCACAGACGAGGCTCCCGCTTGATATTTCCTCCAGATTCACGCCACAGGGGCCCAAAAGTGACGACAATTACACGTTTCGAACGACCCGCCCCACATTAAAGATACGAAATGCGGGCCCCATAGGGAGAGGCTTCCCGCTTGAGACTTCGTCACAATTCACTCACAGACGAGGCTCCCGCTTGATACTTCCTCCAGATTCAAGCCGCAGGGGCCCAAAAGTGACGACGGTTACACGTTTCGAATGACCCGCCTCGGATTAAAAACATGAAGTGCGGGCCCCATAGGGAGGGGTTCCCGCCTGCGACTTCCTCACAATTCACTCACAGACGAGGTTCCCGCTTGATACTTCCTCCAGATGCACGCCAAAGGGGCCCAAAAGTGACGACGGTTACACGTTTCGAATGACACGCCTCGGATTAAAAACATGAAGTGCGGGCCCCATAAGGAGAGGCTTCGTCGCAATTCACTCACAGACGAGGTTCCCGCTTGATACTTCCTCCAGATTCAAGCCACAGGGGCTCAAAAGTGACGACAATTACACGTTTCGAATGACCCGCCTCGGATTAAAAACATGAGGTGCGGGCCCCATAGGGAGGGGCTCCCGCCTGAGACTTCCTCACAATTCACTCACAGACGAGGTTCCCGCCTGATACTACTGATACTACCTTCATATTCAAGCCAAGGAGTGAATGATGACGAAATGGTGAGTGAATGAGTGAATGATGATGATGATGATGATGATGATGAGTGTGTGAT